GGTCAGCAGTGTCTGGAACTCCTGTGTAGATGTGTGTTGATAAATGATTTCTGATAGATTGGCGGGGGCGAGGCGGAGAGGAGGACGACAGCTGTAAAAATAGCCGGCATTTACTGGGTGCTTACTAGACCCCATCTCAACTCCACAACAGCCCTCGGAGGTCATGTCCATGGTTGGCCCGCTGTACAGATGAGGAAACTGAAGGAACAAAGAAGCTAAACAACTTGCTCTGAAAGGGGAAGCGAGGAAGTAGACGAGGTAGAATCCAGCCTGAGGTTGTCTGGCTGGGGAGCCTGGAAAGGGAAGAGCAGTGAAAGATGCAAGAAATGAAAGGCAGGGCCCTTTTTCTCACAGGACTTAAAATTAATTGAGGAGATGAGACCAGGAGTTCCCAGATGGGAGTCTGCCCACAATGCCACAGGCTGGCATGAAGTTTTCTTCACTGGTCCATGGAGACATGAGAATAAGAAGAAGGAAACATTTACCAAGTGAGCTGTGTTGATAGAGTAAGGACAGTCTGGGGTTCGTTTGTTTGTTTTCAATGGATAATTATATTTATTTACATGGTGTAAAAGTCAAAAGATACAGAAGGGAGCACAGTGGAACAGGTCTTCTTCTTCTTACTTCAGTTACCCACTTCCTCTCCCTATTAGAAGGTTCTATCAGGATAGTTCTTTATCAAGATACATGACATTGTATCTTTATCATTTATCAAGATACATGACATTGTATCTTTCCTACTATTTGGGTGTTAGAACATCCTTGCGTTTGTGGAATAATAAAGGTGGTTGATGATGGCTTTGTTTGTTTTTAATGTCCTGCCTGGAGAAAGCAAGAAAGAAAAAAAAAAAAAAAAGAAGGAAGTGAGGCAGGAAGGGAGGGAAGGAAACAGCAAAGTCATCTGCTCTGTAGTCCTTCTTTAAATATATTTTAACAAGATGATGAAATAGATACTGTGCGAGGTTGGTCAGGTAGCTCTGCACTTGGCTCTGTGGGTGATCCGAGTTCTCTGCTCTGTCCCTTCCGAAATGGGAAGGGACAAGTCTCTGCCCTAGGTGGCCTCGGCAGCTCTGCAGGAAGAGACGAAATGGACAGGCTGCATTTCAGGGGCAGGGAGGGTGGGAGGCAGGAGGCGGGGAAGAGCGGGCCTGTTGGAGCAGGGAGACCCGGCTTTGGGAGAGGATGAAGGACAGAGAACACCCTCGGGAGCAAAGGCACAGCGGTGGGAATGGCCAGCCACCCAGGGGGACAGGGGGAAATGGGACTGGGCAGGCCAGATTAGGGGTCCCTGAGCACCCTGCAGGAGAAAGAGAAAAACTGACCCACAGGCACTCAGCAGGGCCCTTGAGAGATGGGAACTTGCTTGGAAGGGAAATTTGTCCCCGGATGTCTGCAAGGGACTGTTTCACTCCAGTGGATGCCTCCCGACAGCTCTTATCGAGGAGCCACTGCTGTTGCCTGCCTGGGCCCCCCTCGGCTCCCACAGCCACCCCTCCAGCAGCTGCCGTGGAGAGCTATCTAGGGGAAGCAGAAGAAACTGGTGAGAGTAAATTTAGTACAATTTAAACAGCAAGTTCCCAGAGCCCAGCGTCAGGGGGCCAAGGGGATTCCTCAATCCCAAGAGGGAACCGACTCAGTTCATCCAGGAAGCCCTAGGAAATGGGCACCTGTCTAAGTTTCCAAAATTCCTAACAGGGAAGAAAGGCGACATTAGTTCTAATAGAAAGTCAACGAAAGCACCATTCCCACCTCCGGGCAGTAGTCTACAGGCTTCCCTTGGCGATGCGCCAAGCTGGCACTATGGACTCAGCTGGTTGTGGCCTGACCACACCTGAATAAAATGACACCCCGAGGCCCAGCCTGTCCTCTCTCTCTGTCCCTGCTCGGCTCTCCCTGAACCTGTGGGAGGGGGCCAGTGATATTCTGCAGGGAAAGTTTCCCCAGAGGCCAAGATGCTCTGCGGCTGGATTGTTAAAACAAAGACATTAAATTGCTATGTCAACTGTCATCTTTAAATAAAAACTTAAGCCCAGCAATAAATCTGAAACTGGTCCCAAAGGTTTAATGGGATAATGTATAACAGGCCCCAGGGGGAGGGCCCAGGCCTGGCTGGCAGGGTGGGGATTTCCCTGAAGGTCTGGGTCACAGCAGTTGGAGGGCTGTGGCTTTTCAACTAAGCGGCACTGCAGTTACCATAAACAGTGCAGGTCGTCGTGGAGGGGCTCGGGGGCTGGGGGTAGGGAGTGCAGGGAGGGTGCGCACAATCTTTCAGGGGGTCCTTACATTTCAGTGGGCATTGTGGAAATGCAGCCCACTCTCCCTTCCGCCTCAGTCCCCAAGACTGAATGAAAGGGTCCGGAGTTGTGGCCCAGAAAGCTGCCTTTTATCAAGCCCCTCCCTCCTTTACCCAAGTGGTTGGTGAACACACTTTGAGAAACCTCAGAAAGGAGACTAAGGGAATCGCACTTGGAACCTTGGAACCAGGGGTTGGGGACGCCAAACCCTCTGCTTAAAAACGTTGTCTCCAATATGATTTTGCTGAAATGAAGGAAAGGTCTAGAGTAAAAGGCACCAAAAGACAAGACTGCAGCCAGGTCCAAATCAGAGGTCCAGCAGGGGGGGATCCCGCTTTTCTGGGGCCGGAAGCTTATACAATTTGGAGAGCCACTTTAGGAAAATTAATTTAAAATTACCCCAGCGTCCCCGCCAAAAAAAAAACCAAAAAAAAAAACCAGTACAGGTCCCATGGATCACTTGGCTGGCTTCCTAGTCCCTCCGCCTGGCCTGGGGGCCCACATTCCCCCTTTCTCACTCGCTCCTTCCTTTCCTGCTGCTGCGTGGTGACCACCAAGCTGGCAGGGGCTCATTGGTCCTTTCCCATCAGCGGGGTAGACTGCCAACTTAAAAATTTTAAGGAAACTGGGCTCTTGGACGCCAGGCATCCAATACCAACCCATGGTTTTTAGCTGCTGATCTATCAGTGACCTAACCACATTTCAGCAGTCTTAAAATTTGTTGCCCTGAAAAAGCTACATCCCACTGGTGTCCCTAAAACTGTTCTGTCTTTCTGGGGTGCAACCTGCCCACATGCGACAGTACCCTAAAACCATGTCTGTACTATAATTCAGTTGTTCTATTTGGAAGATTTCAACCCCCAAATGATCCAAAGCAATGAATAACCTGTGCAGGGGTGTTCACAGCAGCTCTATTATAATAGAAAAAGGGGGAAAGATAACAGCTAACCACTTATTATATGCCAGGCATTAGACTAGGGACTTCATATGGTTTAGTGTATGTAATCCCACAACTCTAGGAAACCCAATTTACAGATGGTGAAATTGATGCAGAGGTGTACTGGTAAACCAGCTCTCACAGGAAAAAAAAAAAAAAAGCTTGACTTTTAGCATTTTGCTGATTTCCATGGTGTAAATATTCAATGATAGCCAATTTCAGGCTAGGGATGGTTTACCAGCCAGCTCCCGAATTTCCCGATAATTTAGCAGTTGCCTCAGGGTCAAGTAACTTGTCCAAGGTTGCTGAATGATAGATTGAGAACCAGGAGTTTAACTCCACAGCACAGCTCTGACCACCACTCCACAGGTCTACGACTACCCAACAGTAGGGAATGGCTAAAACCATAAGGGACTGCTTTGACCCCCAGTCAACAAAGAAGGTTTACAGGACAACTAACACTCATAGAAGCGCCTTACAATAACCCTATGAAGTTCTACTTTATTGGGTTGTCCTAATATTAAATGCAATGATTTGCATAACTTGATAGACGGGAAACCAGTTCCAATTAAGCCCTCAAAGAAGGGTGGCCAGGGTTATTCCATTTTGCAGATCCTGATTCTATGCAGACAGAGAGGTTCCCCGGCTCCTATGTGGTGGAGATGGGATTCGGGACCCAGCCAGTCTGGTTCCAGGCCATCCTCCTAACCTGCCCCCTCATAAAATATATTAGATGAAAAGCGGGTAGGGACCAACACGTACAGACTCTTACTATGCAAGAGTCACTCTTGGAGTGGGAGGCCGCAGAAAAGCCTCTGAACTCCAGAGTCAGGCAAACCTGGATTTGAAAGGCTCTCCGGCACTTAACCTTACTGTGTGATCTGGGGCAAGTGACCTAACAGCTCCGGTTTTCTCCTCTGTGAAGTGGCCATAACAATACCTATCTCATGAGGTTGTCCTAAGGACGAAGGGAGAATTCGCAGAACCGGGGTGAACACAGACCTGGGCCACATTAAGGGCGCAAAAGGACGTAGCTATCATTACGAACAAAACGGTTGGAATTAAGGGTATGGTTTCATCTCCACCGTGGGTTTGGTTTGGTTTGGTTTGGTTTGGTCCTATCAGGTAGCCTCAAATTGTAGCTCATGCTGGGCCAGTGACAGCCAAGCCAAATCCCTTGTCATGTCAGCGCTTCCCTGCCGCAAACTACAGAGGAGTCATTCTCCACCCTGGCGTTCCCGCACCCTCGCGGCCCCACAATTCGGCGCCGTGGTGCAGAACCGAGGGCGCCCGGCAGCCCAGGCCCGGATCCCCAGTCGAGTGCAGGGGACCCGGCCGTGCCTGCTCCCCTGCGTGCCTCCTTCGCACCCACACCCTCAGAGCAGGCGGAGAACTCCAGAAGCGGGGGTGGGGACCAACGCGCCGTTCTGCTTTCGAAATCTAGAGCCCGTGCTAGCTACCAAGTCTGGGGTATTTTGGATCTCCTTTTCCTCCCAGACAATCACTAAAAAGAAAAGTGCCCCTGTTCCTCCTTTCGGCCAAACTTCCTCCCCGCTGCTGCTCTCGGGGCCCTGCGCCCCCGCCGCGGCTGGGACCGCGGCGATGCTGGACGGCGCGGGGAGAAGCGGCGCGGTCCGCCGGGGTCCTCGTCGGGGCGGCGTCGCCGAGCCGCGCCCGAGTCCAGGCGGGAGGGAAGGATGTCGGGGCAGCTCCTCGCGGCACCTTGGGGCGCACGGGTCCCCAGCCCGCAAGTCCCGGGCGCCGCTTACCTGACGGCGGTCGCTTCCTGCTGAGCCGGCTCACTGCGCGGTTGAACATCGCGGCGGGCGCCCCGGGGAGGAAAGAGGCTCGGCCGGGCGGCGCTGCAGCGGGGCCGGAGGAGGGCGAGGAGGGGCAGGCCGAGGAGGGGAGGAGCCGGATCGGCGCCGCCCCGGCGCGCCCTCTCCCTGCAGCCCGAGAAACGGGCACGGCGCCGCGGGTGCATCGCGCTTCTTGGCTCCACGCGCCTTCGCGCAGCGGTGGGGGGCGGGGGGCGGGCGTCACCTCCGAGTTCACAGACAGGGAAGCCAAGGGCGCGCGAGTCTGCAAAACCCGAGGATCCCGGCGCTCCCGGACCTGCCCGTCCCGCCACTCCGTGGGCGCCGGGCCTTCCCACAGCGGCGAACGCCGGTGGGGCGTCGCCAGGGTCGTGGCCGCAGCGCCCGCGCGCGGGGTGAGCCGAGCCGCCGCGGGTGGGTGCCCTCTGCCCTGGCCCGCTGCGCCGGCGCTGAGACCGCGGCCCCCAATGCTTTTGGCCTTGAGGCTCCAGGGGCGGACCTCGGGGGAATTCTGTAGGAACCAAATGGGTTCCTGCGAGGAGCGATGCTTCTGCCCCGCACACAGGCTGGCGGGGACACTTCTCTAACTTTGGGGACACGTGGCGTACCTTCCGGAAGGGCCTTTGCGCTCAACGCTCGACAGCGCTGTGGTTCTGATTTTTCCTCTCCCGCCGCCAGGCAGTCACCTGCTGAGCCCCGCCCGCCCCGCTCTATTATCTCATTTTCTTCTGAAAAACAGCCCAAGAAGGGATGTCATTAGCCCCATTTTCTTGAGCATTTGCTTTGCGTGGAATTGTCTTTCTGGACGAGTCTTATTTTTTCTCCTTGTGTATCTGGCTTTGTCTCTAAATTGGTCTTTATTTTTAGCTGTACTAATTGCTATTTTTCTAAACCGATCCCCAGTCGTTGGCCCCCCTCCACCCATCCTTTTGCAGTATTTTCACTAGTTGGCACTTTCTTTTATATCTTCTATTCTGAGCTTCTCGTCCCTCTAATTTCCCCTCCCTCCTCCTCCCCACCCTCTTAGTCCCAATTCCACCCCATCTCTGGCCTTCCATGGTTGCTTCTCATTTTTCTCCCTATCCTTCCCCTCCGAAAGCCATTTTCCTCGGAGTATTTCTAAGTATTGTACTTGACCCTCTGCTGCGGGGAGAGACTTTTCAGGATTGTGAAGGTTACAGGGGTTTTCAGCTGCAAAGCAAGGAGACCACAGTGATTAGAAAGCGGGTCAGAGCCCAGCCAAAAAGCTCCAGTTAAAAAAAAACGTCTCCTGCTGTTGGCCCCCACCGCGGATCAAGCCTCCACTCTGTCTAATGAGATCAAGCTGTGATACTTCAATTACAGATACAGACAGCAGTTTCACCTTTTGTAAGAGTCGGACTTTTAAACTCTGGCCATCCTGGATCTAGATGAGGTCGCTGCATTCTTATATCAATAACAGGGGAATTGGTGCAGCACCCCTCCCCAGAAAATTACAAGTAATCCTAACACAGGAAATAAGGATGCAGGTACAATGGGTAAAAAGTTAGGCATAACTAATTGTCATGCAGGTTGCCAGGTCTGCTCCTGTCGCCCTGAAAAAAACCCTAAGTGGCCTAGGACATGCTTAGAGCCCCTCCTGAGCTAAGAAAGTTGCAGGACTTTCTGAAATAAAGTGAAAACAGAACAGCTTCAAATCACCTTTAGTGTCCTGTTAGCATACCAGATAGTAAGTATAAAAATAAAGACCCACGGTGAAGGTTTAATGTATAGTTTAAAATTCGTTTCAGGACATGAAAAGGCTGCCCTGAAATTGTAAGTATCTGTTTTATGTCTAAAGATCTAAGAGCCAGCTTTCAGCATGCACTGTAGAAAAGACCAAGCATAAAAGTATAGAACCTCACTGTCCCTAAAACTTGCCAAAAGAAAACACACACACACAGCACATGGTTCAGTTCAGCCTGTGTTTTTACATATGAGCTGAAGATGCCTGCCCTACAAATAGCATCAGTCCCTCTGTAGTTCATCTCAAGCCTTCACAAAACACCGCAGCCAGTCTCGGCAAGAAAAGAACAAGCACTTTGGCTCCTGATCCTACCCCTGCTGGTCTCACCTTTGGTTAAACAACATTTATTCAGATCAGGCAAGGAACAAGAGGCCAAGATGTCTTCTGGTAAAGCAGAATTTCAGCGACCATTGACTTCAGAGTCCAATATTTCTTATTCTACTCAGAAACTTTAAAAAATTGGTAAGCTCTGACTATATTATAAAGTCTCATAATAAAATATATTTTAGATTCTTTTATAAAGACTATTCTAGGCCATTTGGGGCAGGTGAGATATAGTACAATAGTAAATAAATAAATGTCTGACTTAAGAGATCTGGGTACCCATCCTGGCCATATAGCAGACCAGCTGTGTGTCCCAAAACAGCCTCATAGGATTGGACAAGGAGAGGCTGCCACCTACATTCTGAGGGTGTGGTATTCACTCTCAATAAACAAGCGAGCATCTGGCACAGTGCCCAGCACATGTAGGCACACAAAAATTTACTGGATACTGACTTACTCTTATTCTCCCTACAACGCTGTTTCAACAAACAATAAAGTTTAGCCTTAAGTGGCATTTTTAAAAGAAACTAGAGCAAGTTGGCAGGGTTAGTAATAGTGATACGACTGACACACACAGTGAAGGGCGGAAAGTAAGTTGTTACTTCTCTGGAAGGCAAGAGAGGCAGATGTGTTCAGATGCACATTTGGCAACATGTGTAAGAACCTTCAAAACGTTTCTACCCATTGAACCAGTGAATAATTCTACAACTGGTAATTTATGCCAAAAAAAGAATAAGAGATGCAAAGACTTGTGTGCGAAGTTGAATATCATAATAATTCTTGTATCAGTGCCATTTGTGGTAGTTATAAAAGCCCATTGATGGAATGATTAAGTTACGGTAGTATATTCTTATGATGAAATATTTAGTTGTAAGAATTGTGTAAAGAGTATTTGGTGATGTAGGAATATGCTTATAGCGAAGTTTTCATTGCAAAAAACCAGGATACAAATATAGAGAAAAGTTTCTGTCAGGAAGGGGAGAAAATATAGTAGATTTATGTATAGAAAGCTTGCGGGAAATGATACCAAAATGTTACTAGTACAGGCATACATTTTATGGTGCTTGGCTTCATTGTGCTTTACAGATGTTGTGGGGTTTTTTACAGAGTGAAGGCAAGACTCTCCACAAGCAAAAAGATTACAACTCACTTCATTGCAATACTCACTTTATTGCAGTGGACTGGAACCGGATCTACAATATCTCTGAGATCTGCCTGTATTTATCTCTAGATGATGGGATAATGATTCAGTTTAATTTTCATTATTATATTTTTCTGTTTGGAAAAACTTCTGCAGTGTATATACTTTTTAAGTCAGGAAGAGGAGAATCAGTAGTTGGAAACTGGTCAAAATTTCTGCTGGGTTTCATTTATAAATATTTAAACCCACATTTTCCAACATGAGTTTTGCTTTCTTTAAACTCTTAATTTCCCATGGAAGGAGCAAGCAGACACAATTGCCTTTCCCATCTTTGATCTCCCTTGCAATTCAAGTCACACATTCATGCCATATCACAGCTGGAGGGGTCCTTGGAGATCAGCATATTATGTTGCAGATAGGGAAACTGAGGCCCAGAGAGCTTTAGCTAGAACGTGACCTGGAGCTAATGTCCTCAGTCACGGGCAGTGGTCTTCCTGATATATAGCATTCTGTCTCATGCCATGCTGCATCCATGGAGAGGCACCTAAAAAGGAAAACCTTTATG